AACTTAATCAATCAAAAATGGAAAATTACTGGCAAAACGCGACCGCTTATTACTTTGCAAATCAGAGAAAGCAGTTACTATGAATGAGTAGTAAAACAACAACACTAAGCGAACGTTAAATACTCATATAGGAATAAATCTTATGCAACACGTCATAAAGTTATGAGAGCATATGCGTTGGTAGAATCCCCCCCCCGAACAAAGAAGGCACTTATATTCAGAATAAGTCTGTGGACCGAGAGAAAAAATGACTTGACGGATGTGTAAACATTTGTTGACCTCTTCCAGCTGCTTGTTAATCGACCGCAAACGTTGAATGACATGCTGATTATTAACGTACAGTTGGCCTTTCTTTCCGCCTCAAAACCGAATCTAATATAATTGTAAACGCTTACGACTGTACGAATAAACTTCATATGTGGGGATATCCCGTTTGAGCAATCAACTCAAATGACCTAGAGTCTTAGTTACATAGGTTCCTAAATTCTTTCCGATAAACATGAAATTATGACTCAGATGGCAACAACAGTGGACTTTCCTTTGGCTAAGCAGGTCGCCGTGGAAACAACGGAAGATCGATCCGAAAACTAAGTCGTTCTCCCACTCCATTCTCATTTATGGCGGCGAGAGGTGGGTCCCAAGGAAGACGAGGAAACAAAAACCATTCGACCCAACCGATGCCCAAGAATCATCTCACATACATGATTTCTTGGCCATACATGCAACGATACAATCAGCGCTCAATGCAACATCACGTCGTTCTCTACTCCCTAAAAGAACGACTACTGCGTTGGCTAGAAAACACGCTGAGATATCATCTTAATTACAACAAACGTCACCCTGATCCCTGGAAGGTACCGCAAAAGAAACGGACAAGTTAAGACATAGTAGGACAGAGTGTGAAGTACAGATGAGAAGAGTTCTCTTGGCCGACAGTGTATGGGTACAAATGGTTGAAGAAATAATGGCTAAACCTGGTTCTGAGCACTGTTGCGTGTGACCGAAAGAATCGAGATGTAATTGCACCGAATAAACCGGTGATGGTTACAGCCGTATCAGCAACAACACGATCGACTCCTCAATACAAGCACTGTAGAGCACATATTTGAAAACATGAACACCCTGATCTTAACTGAAAGATGAATAGTGACGACATAACGATTTAAAATTCATTGTATGTCAGTATCTGGCATGCTTAGAGAGGATATGCATTTTAAAAAGGCATTCATATGTTTACCTATTGCATTCGTATCGTACAACAACGGGGGAATATTCTTACAGGTTTAGCTGCAGTCACGATGACTATCTCTGTTACGTCTTAATGTCATGCAGCCACGTAAATCGGTGCGTTGTTCCATAAGGGTGAACGCAGATGGGAAAGTGATTGCTGATGTGCCCCACTCTTTGGATCTCATCCCAGTCATAGTGGCGATTCCTCGATCGTCCAGTTATGAAAAAATAACGATGTCTATCATGTGTCTATCATGCCTTGTAAAAGCACGCTTCATTGTGATCTAATAACTTTGAGATAAGCAGAAGCCTGAAGAATGGCCACACTGTCAACAAGCGGTTCGGCGACTTTCGTCCTTCCTGCTCCGTCGTTTGAATTTTGGACGCCCTTTCTCGCAGCTCACCTTAAAGAATTTCTTGTCATATTCTGCATCAAGTTCCTTTATTCCAGCTATCGCATACCCGCTTTGTTTCGCAATTAGACTTGCTTGCACCGTTTGCAAAATGCTGTCTACAGTAATCTCGTTTGAGCAGCTCTTGATCGTTAGGTTATTTCACTTTGATGATTACTTTAAAGCCCTTCATTCCAGCAAAGCAATAACGATTCCTGCTAAATATTTCAAAAACATTGCCGTATTTGGTCTTCTGCGTAAAGCAACATAGAGACATGGTTTTCATGAAGAATAACAACTTCCTGCATTCTACAAGCTCCCATTCACGTCAAACAACAATACTTGAATTTGCTAAGTATGACAGTGTCTTCTTCCTGCCCGTGTTTGCTTCATAGCTTCCTAGTTCCAGAATCATTTTTGTTACTACGACTTGCTCGAGTGCAATTTAGTTCTCTGCTTTGTATCTTGCGACGAGACACATAATTTTGATGTATTTTCTTCATCGTGTTGAAAATGGAATTCTTCGGCGATCCCATTCAAACAAACAGCTATTCACCATTCAAATCGCTGGTTAGAACTCTAACCAGGCTATTATTTTAAACATTGAATCTGGCCATCGATTATTTCCACCAAGCGTTTAAACTGTCCACGAGACCCACCAGCGACGTACGAAAGATCTAAATGTCCAACACGAAACGGTTACTGGGGAGAAAGAGAAATGCTTCATGTACTTGTCGTGATCAGATGTGGAACACCGATACTTGAGTTGAGTCAACATACTAAGTGAATGACACAGTGCAGCTACAGCTATGCATTTTACACATTGTTACACATGTAGACTAGTAGTTCACAAAGTAATAAACGGAGGCATTGCCTGGAAGGTTTGTTGGCACTTGGGCACAGCTACTGTATTTACGGTTGCTTTATTAAGGTAAGCGTGACCGAAAACCAGGATTGTGGAAGGCTTCGAAAAAATGAAATTGCTGTCTTCCGCTTATCGCTGCAAGGAAGGCACTGTACTCAAAACCAGTCAGCATCATTTTAAATCTCAGGTTGCTCTTTGTATTGCTGTTTCTTTAGACAACTTTTGTCTCATCAAGTGCTAATCGAGATCAAAAAGAAGTCTCTCATATTGCATGTAACCAGTAAAATTAATAAACATTGCTGAAAAATCATCTCCTCTTTTATTAGCTACTAGCAATAGAAACAGTAATTACGCATGCAGGTTAGTAATTCTCATCCTAGCAGTGCGAATGATGAAAACATCTTTCTGCATGATGGTGATGAGTAAGATTTTCAGGATGCATAGCTACTGCAGATATCACTTCTTAAATGATGAATCGTGACTGTGATTTCTACAGCTGACATAAAGACAGGTCTCTGTCCATGCAAATTAATCAACTAATAATGCATAACTTCTTCAACACCAGATTCCACGACGTACCGCATCGCCTCATTGCTCGAGCTGCTGGAACAGGGACGTTTCAGCCGATCATTGTTACGGCTTCAGAATATTTGACTATTATCAATCATGCGTACAGCATCGTTTATTCATCTCGCGTTCATTACAAATAATATTCTATAAGCTGTTTCTCCCTGTATGCTTCTGCATGAACATCAGACTACATTTTTACACAGGAGAATGTCAGAAACTCATAACTCCTTCGCGACCAGATTTCACTGCGTATTGCACCTATTACTGTTTTGCTCCTAGTTTCAAACGGCAGATCACGGCTCCATGATATCTAAGAATCATACACAATCTAATTAAGTGCAAAAGTTTCAAATATTACTATAGGTATTGAAAAAGAAAGCATATATTAGAGGATACACATTAGTTTTTTACTTAAACATGATATTGAGGGGTTGACACAGCTCATGCTGCTCGTATTACCATCATCAACAGCATTGTAGATTGTTGCCTTTATGAAGTGCGAAACACTAATACAACGAAACTGAGTGCGGTTTATGAATGACATCAAACTTTTTCAGTCATTTAACGTACCTTTGTAAATTTATGTGTAAATGACTTACTTGTGTAGTTTTGCGAGCCACCTCGGCGGCTTCCTGTAATTCTTGTATTTCTTGGTTAACATCATGTGTGTTTCGCAGTCTTCTTAGAGCTAAACAAGAAGGTCAACAAAACAATTACCTTATGGTCAATGACGAACTGTCAAACCCAGAAAGCTACTTATCTTCGCTGCTTCTATTATTTTTGCTTCAAAGAAGTATGCCTTGAATAACTGAATATCATCGAAAATAATTATGAGAACAAAAGTTTAGCCATTTAATATGAAAGCAAATGGATAGTCCTGCTGGAGGACAGGAACATTCTGGCGACATATCCTCAGTAGAGTGGCCAAGATTTCCTACGTTCATGTGATCGGAGTGAGACAGTGATGTTGTGCGTTAGAAGCTTGCTTCACACCTTA